GCACATGTTTGACCATTATGGCTGCCAAAAGGGAAGCCGGTTCCTTCAATGATAAGGGAATAAGCCTCTGAAACTGTAAGCTAACCCCCAAAGAGATGCTTTCTTTCCTAAGAGTTTCCTTGGTCATAGTGTCTCTTCACAGAAATAGACTAAGACATCCCACAGGCAGCTCATCTTCAGCCCTCAAACCTTCAACAGGCAACAGCGCCCCTGCCTGCCCCAACATGAACTGCTCTGCCCCACTGTGGCCATCCAGCAAGGACAACCTGACTCCCTGGCCCTAGCTCTCTGAATCCTGGACTCTGTGATCTTCGAAGCATGGGGGGGAGGGGGGAGACTCACCCTTCCATCCACTGGGCAGGGTTTCACAGATGAGCTAGGAAAATAACCAGACTTCCGGGTTTGAACCAGTCGCCCCTGGAGGAAGAAGTGACCAGGAAGCATGAGGGACCCTAAGATGCCTGCAGCTATCCAAATCCCAAGTCCAACATGAGTGTCACCTCCCTGCTGGGACCTTAGTCGGCCTCCTCACCACTTGGAGCAGAGAAGTGAGGACATTCCCACTTTACACAGAAATAACACCAAGGCTCAACACAACAGCCAGGTGTTTCTGCAAGTCCACCTAAAAGACAGGTGACACCCAGGGAGGGGGTAGGGAGGATGAAGACCTTGTGTGATGCTTACGTGTCAATTTGACACAACCTAGAATCATCTAAAAAGAGTCTCAGTGAGGGACTGTCTATCAGGCTGGCCTGCCTCTGTGGGGGATTGCTGTGATTGCCTAAAGTGAGGTGAGAAGAGGCAGCCTGAGCCAGGTGGTGGTGCACATCTTTAATTCCAGTACTTGGGAGGCAGAGGCAGGCAGGATCTCTATGAGTTCAAGGTCAGCCTGGTCTACTGAGGGAGTTCAAGGACAGCTAGGGCTACACAGAGAAACCCTGTCTCGAAATGGGTACCACTCCCTGGGTTTGGGTCTTGGTCTGTATACGAGTGGAGACGGTGAGCTAAGCACTAAGCCTGCATTCCTTCTCTCTGCTCTTGACTGTGGATGTGATGTGACAGGCAGCTTCAAGCTCCTGCCTGACTTCCCTGCAGTGATGGACTGGAGCTGTGAGCCAAATAACCCCTCTATCTCCTGGGTTGCTTTCTGTCAGGGGGCTCCATCACAGCCACAGAATGAAACCAGGACACCTGGGATGCAGAGCATCCTTCAGGACCTTCCGAGTCTCATGTTATGTGACTGTCTAGTCTGACTCAATAGTCTGGACTCCATTACTGATGATTACAAAACATTACAAATATCACCAACCTTTACCCTAACTCTGTACTCCAAGCTGGCCATGGAATCTCAGGGTTCCTTAATGCTGGGGCTCAACAAAGAGGGGGCTAAAGACGTAATACACTCGAGCTCAGAACTATAAACTAGTCCACAAGAATATAATGGGGCCCATGTTTATCTCCCTCTCACAGGGCCCTGGGGCCAATCCTGTGAGGGACTGCCAACCAGAATGGGAGCATTGGGGATGAGGCATGGCATGGCTGGCACAGAAACTGGTGAGGGCCTGTGGGGTCTACTAAGGCAGAAAGGACAGGGCAAACAAGAGTTGCTAACTGTGTAGCAAATGCCTCCAGGAAGAGATAGCAGAATTCACGTGCAGAACGGAGGTGGCAGAGGCCATAGTAAGCACCCCCTCTTCACTCCATGGCATCACCCCCAAACCTCCCTGCTCTGGCCTTGGGGGATGGGCAGGGAGAGGAGCAAGGCTGCACCCCTCCCTCCAGGGCCCAGGACTCACCTCCCACCAAGGAGAATCGGGGTCACCCCGGAGCAGCTCTATCACATCCCCTGTCTGGAAGGTCAACACGGGCTTCCCGGGTGGGGCGGGGTTACCATGGTAATTCTGCACGGCAACCATCTTGGGCCCTATGGATGACAAGGTAGAAGAGGATGGCTCACCAGTGATCTCATCCCTGATGGCAGCTCACCCCTTCACAGACCCTTTCTGGTCTAGGGAACCCTTCTGTGAGACCATTCCCCAACACAGAGGAGCCTACAATGTCCCTTCTGTACCCTTCACATATGGCTCCTATATCTTTTTGATAAATATCCTAAGTAGATTATCTACTCAAACAGATTTGAGAACATTCCAGTAACAACTGCTTATTTTTAGATGGAGCTTTCTGTCTCTTCCAGACACCGCTGGATCTACAGTGTAAACCTGGGTGGGTGGGGCCCCAAGTTAGAGATGAGGTCCCACAGAGCTGGTGAGAGGCAGGCCTGAGGCTGCAATGGAGATCTAGGCTGAGCCCCTAAGAATCCGAGGCTCCTCGGACGGTGTCCCATTGTGCCCCAGTTTCACACCAGATGTCCAAAGATGTCGCAGAACTGTCTTGCCAGGCCTGGTCCAGGTCACCATGGCCCAGCTGTGGTAGCATCTGGGTGGAGACTGAGTTTCCTCTGTTGAAGGTCAGACTTCATCCAAAAGGTGAAGCCTTTAGGCCTGCCTTTTTCAACAGCCTGGGATGCCCAAACCAACGGGACAGAAAAACAGCTATGATCCCTGGGCTTCCTGCTCACTCGGATTTTGGGGCAGCAGCTTAACATGTCTCTGATCTGGGGTGGAAGGTCCTTGACTCTCTGCTGCCTGGCCCTTTCCCACCCCATCAGAACCTGAGTCAACCTGGGGAAGCAGCCAGAGAGGCCAGGGCAAAGAATGGCTGTGCTAGCTGGGTGGTGGTGGGGAGTGACACATGCCTTTAACCCCAGCACCTAGGAGGCAGAGGCAGGCAGAGCTCTGTGAGTTCAAGGCCAGCCCGGTCTACAGAGCAAGTTCCAGGACAGCCAAGGCTACACAGAGAAACCCTGTGTCAAAACAACAAAACAAACAAACAAACAAACAAGGTCGTGCAAAGTAGCCACCACCATGCCCAGGCCCAGCTTGTCAGCTGATACAGACTGCAGAGGTGGCTGAGTCCAGCACACTCACCTGGTCCAGCGCCAGGAGCATCCTGTAAGGACAAGGACAGATGGTTAGGGAAGGTGCTGTACCTTTAGTCCCCACATCAGCACCACCACCCCACAGGAGAGTCAGGGCAGGAAGCAGGAGAGCAGGGTCACGTCTTAACTGCCCGTAGGTGTCTGCAACATTACTTCCCTCTCCCAACATTAGTCATGGCCCCCCACCCTATGTTCCCCAACCCCATTACACACCCCTAACTCTTACCTCCCCCAGAAAGCCTCCCTGACCACCCTCCAGTGTCTGTTCTGGACACGCCCTGGGAAAATATAACTAAGTGCTGTGTGATGGAGGCACCTCCATACCCTTGCAGGGCCTGGTGAGCATCCATTCAAGGCTGGACAACAGGGCTGGACTCTATAGCTTGCCAGAGACATGGCATATGTCCTCTAATGGCTTTAGTGACCTGTCCCCATGGGTAGGTATGCTGTGTCACAAAGGTGCAGCTACAGCTGGAGATCCCTAGGGAGTAGGTGAGCTGCTAGGACACGCCTCAGCTATGAGACCATGGTGGGGGGGGCTGCATGCATGGGCACACAGAGACACTTCTATGCTATGGTGAGGGGGGGGACAGACACGGGACACAGCCCCCAAGGAGTGGGAAGAGTTAGGAGCACTCACCGAGTCTGCAGGAGAACCTGTAAAGGAAGCAAATCAGGGGTCAAAGAGGAAGCCTCAACAGAAAGGCAGCCTCCGTAGTGTAGGCTCACACCACAGAAGTGGCTGGGTGAGCTGCAAGGGACTCCCTTCAAAGGTCCATCACAGATATGAACATAGACCAGCCTCACACCTATGAAAGTTACCTTGACAGAAAGTTCTGAGTTCTAGCTCCAGGGAGCCATGGGTAACTCAGACTGGAAGTTATACCTGAGATAGCCTAGGCATTTCTACCTGAGCCAACTCTGTCTGAATGGTAGCAACTGCCAGGGTCACCTGGTAGAGCCTGAGATTCACAGGGCAATTTCCACAGTTGGTTAGTGATACCTGCCATGGGTCTGTGATAGAGGCAGGTGTGCAAAGGTGCCTGTTGCCATCCTCCTATAAGACCCTCCAGTTGGACACTGGTCATTCAGTTGTCATATAGGAAGGAAGATATACCCTAGCCATTGCTAGGTTGGGCTTCTATCTCAGCACGGGTCAAAACAAGGGTCATGACAGCTAGGATATGTGGCTGGTGGGACCTCAATGCCCCAACTATTGTGGCCACAGACTGCTCTGGGAACATTTGTCTCTTTTACAGACCCTTGGCACACAACAGTGGTTAGCAGTGTTCCACAAGATGGCAGCACAGCCTCTGCCCTGCCCAGAAAGAACTCCCATGGCTCTCAGGAGGGGCTGGCATCTCCCTAGGGGCACCTAGGCTCCCATAGGGGTTACACAGCCCATCTGCTTTGGTGGTGGTATTGTCACACAGCTCACAGAGGAAAGCTGACCTATTGTGGAGTATTTGTACACTGTGTGAAGATGTATTGCTGTGTTGGTGTAATAAAAAGCTGGACAGCCAATAGTTAGGCAGGAGGTATGGGTGGGACTTCCGGGCAGAGGGAGAGAAATAGAAAGAAGAATCTAGGTGCAGAGTGGACAGCATTGAAATGTGGAACGAGTTGAACAGACAGAATGGGACACTTCTGGTAAAAGCCACATGGTAGAATGTGTATTAATAAAATTATAGGTTAAGTTATAAGAGCTAGCAGGACAAGCCTAAGCTAACAGCCAAGCCTCCATAATAAGACTCCGTGTTGTTATTTGGGAGCTGGCTGGTGGGACAGAAAAGGACTCGTTAAACTGGCCAAAGCCAGAGGAGCACTGACCAAAGCTGAGTCTCACAGCCAACCAGACGGAAAGTAGCTTGAAGAGCAATAGCATCCCCTAGCAGAGGACAGAGGGAAGCATGGGTTATACCCTCAGGGGAGTCACAAGCCCTAAGTAGCTTGAAGAGCAATAGCATCCCCTAGCAGAGGACAGAGGGAAGCAGGGTTATACCCTCAGGGGAGTCACAAGGGAATAATGTCTGATGCCAGCCAGGGGTTGTGATGACACAGGATACTGGTCTCAGGAAGGACCCCACTGATATAACACAGAACAAAAGCCCCAAGGAGACCAGGACCTGGGCACCTGGGAATGCAAAAGGAAGGAAACACCCACATGCCTGCTGGTGCCTGAAGGAACTATGAAAAGTTCTCCCTCCCCCCTTTTCTTCACACTTTGCTACATTTAAGACATTTTCTAAACAACTATCTAATAATTAAGATGGAGAAAAGTGACTCTAAAAATGTTGTTTTCTAAAAAGTGACAAAAAATATGACAAAACATTGATTCCAGCTATTTCTATGGCTTTTGTGTGTTTATTTTTGTGACAGGGTCTCATGTAGTCCAGGCTGGTCTCAAATTCACTATAAAACCAAGGACGTTTTTGCCCTGATTCTCCTGCCTCCACCTCCTGAGGATACCTTTCCAACGGAGCTACACACATCAGCCCACACTTTTATCTAGAGAAGCATCATTGGCCATGCTTCTTCTCTTCTCTTCTGTTAAGACAGATTCTCATATGTCACTTTGGCTGGCCTCAAGCTCATAGAGATCCGTCTGTCTCTGTCTCCTCAGTGTTGATATTAAAAGTGTGCACCACCACACCTGGCCCTATCGTCTTTTTATTTCAGGTCTTCTTTTTCTATTCTATTTTTAAGTTTGTTAACTTTTAGAAACACACACACACACACACACACACACACACTAACTACGGCAGTTGCCTTGCATGAAGACTTATGGCCACAAGAGGGCGACATTGACAAAGTCAATACCATTGTCAAGCTTCAATTTCTAGGGCTGATCTGGAGTAGCACCTACTAAAACAGAAACCAAGGTGACAAGCTCAGTAACCCCAGGACCTGGTCAAGCACAAGAGGATTGGTTTCCACTGCAAGGAGGGCAGATGCAGGGCTGTCCCAATAGAAGAAAATCAAGTGAAAATCAGCCCTGGGACTCAGAGCAAGATGGCCTCCTCTTGCTCTCAGTGCAGCCTGATACAGCAGTACCTCCCCAGTGAGTGAGGAGGATGGGGCTCTCATCTGAAGCACAGAGAATGCCTGGCACTCAGCACGTGCCACTACTACCTGTAAAGGGCTTCCCTGGGAATGCTGTCAACACCCCACACTTTCCCATCAGAGGAAGTTTTAGGGTTGGCAGAGAATTCTGCTAGCACGACCAAGACCCAAGACAGATTTTACTCCAGCATCAGAATAAAATACAGCAACAAAAGCCTAAGCTGGTCTGTTCTTATCTGGACTCTGCTCAGTAAGGCCCTGACACCTCTCAGGACTGTCATGGGCTTTTGGCGGCTGCCTAGACACTATGAGATGGGACACCCTTTAAAAACTCTGAATGTCTTCCCAAATTAAACACTTCAGAGGACTTCTTGGGTCTAGTTTCTGCTCCTGGTACCAGCAAAGCCCAACCTTCCCCCTGCCTGACAAATGATCATGAGAACAAGTACCCTGAAAGTAGTGCATGTGCCCTGCACACGTGACAGACACAAGAGAGCACCTGTGTGCACAAGTGCACAGTCAGCAGCTCACTGACCAAGCTGTGACCTTCCTGGAGGAAGAACCAGGGGTGAGAGCCAGTTATGATAGGGATTTATGGTGGGAACCCCCACATTCCTGCTGAGAATGTTCTTTGCCTTTTGTGGAGGTGGGTCAAAGGGACATGAACTTACTTCCGGAATGGGGCAGAGGCACAGGAGATGGAGGAAAAAGTCACAAGAGCTTTGGGGGGGAACTACTCCCAGCTCTGGCTTTTGATACCCCACCCCCAGTCAAGTATCTTCCCATCCGTCTTGGCCTCAGTTCCTCTCATCTGACCTCCTCCTAAGGCAAAGAACTGTCACTGGGCGAAAGGCAGTGAGCAAGAGGTCCTCACAATCAGGGGCACGGGTGTTGGGGCCCATGTCGATGCACTGGTGGGTACTCACTGATCTTGCAGGGGGGCATCACCTCCAGGCACTCCTTGTGTGCTCCAACACCACATCTGGTGCACAGGTAACCCTGGTAGAAGGTACCCCTGCGAAGGAGAGGGTGGGAGGTGAGCCACGGTCATTGCCCTGGTCGAAACCTGTCAGTTTACCTGGTGATCTGTCCTAGCACATCCACGCCCCAAAGCACCTGCTCTCCCCTGACCACCCCAGCCTGGCCCCTCACTCCACGGTCCCCAGCAGGGGCAAACCCTCCGATGGCCTTGGCTGCTGGCCCTATTATTATGCCCCTGGTTCTTTGAGACATCCTATGGGGCTAAGGTGGAAGGTCGGGTGCCATGGTTTCACAGGGCAGCTGAGAAGAGTGTCCTGGAGCCTGGGGAGGCTGTGTGTAGAAGAGACCTACCTGAGGAACATCTTGCAGGCTTTGCAGTTGGTGGTCTTGTCGAACGTGTACATCTGGAAGCTATGATGGTTGGCATTGGCCTTGTCTGGCTTGATGTTTGACCTGGTGGAAGGAGAGAGTAGGAACTCAATGGCCAGGCTCCCTGAGCCATGAACACAGGGACAACTACATAAGGACCCTGGCTGCACACACCAGGACCCTGCACTCCAGCCTGGGTCTCCCCACACATGGCAGGGGAAAGAGTGGGAGTATATAGGGGGAGGGATCTTAACTGCACCATGCTAGCCTGCAGTGTGAGGCAGAAGGTTACTGAAAATGGCCCAGGAGTGTCAAACTTAGCATGTATATGTTGTTCCTCCTTGTCCATTGTTTTCCTTTCTGAGGTTTTGCCTACAATCCAAAGTGTACTAAAAATATTACGTGGAAAATTCCAGAATTGAGCAGCTCACGGGTTTTTTGTTTCTGTTGTGAATAACATAATGAAATCTCCCTAACCCAGGACATGGGTTATCCTCTGCTAATATATCTGTGCTGTGGAAGCTACCCACCTGCTAGTGGTCACTTAGTGACATCCGGTATCAAATCACAAACACATAGTACTTGCATTCCGGTGTCCTGTATTTTACTTACCACTGGTCCCTGTGCAAGTGTAGTGATTGGTAATTTCATTACAATCCATCATGTGTCTAATAACTAGTTCTTAGTTACTAATTATACCGATTTACACACTGCACCCTACCACAGGTCTATATACTTAAGACATCTATACACATAAGGTTTGATGCTACTTTGGTTTCAGGTACTTGGTGGTGGCCCTGGACTGTGCCCCATGGATGGCGGAGCAATTACATTAAGGTTTACACTTCACAGTGTAAGTGCTTATAAACTCTGCACAGATGTGGAATTACCAGCTCATGGTCACACCCTGAGAACACATTCCCTTCATCTTCTCTACCATTAGATTTGAGGAGGCAGGACATACAGACAAACAGAAGCAAGGAAGGAGAGATGTGCACCAGGAGGGAGCTCACAGGTGTTCTTCAACTTCTGTGAATACTTGAAACTGCTTCAAGAATTCCCTGCACAATGCTGGGAAGAGAAGTCCAACCCACAGAAACCAAGGGGCAGAGAGCCCCAGGCCGCTCAGTCTGGACACAAGCCAGCAGGCAGCATCACTCAGTGTACCAGCCTGAGAAGCTGCCCTTACCTGACTCTTGTACCTGAATCTTACCATGTGGGAAGCCTCAGGGAGCGGTATACTCCCTACAAGTCCCCAAGTCTGGTTGCCATAGGGTCAAGTGCACACACCACATACCCCCCTCTGCCCTCCATCTGCTCTATGTGTTGGGGTGCCCCTTCAACCTCATGGGACACTGTTCTGAGACTTTCACACAAAGACAAATCCCGGTGGGCCCTGAGGACCAGTTCCAGGGGTCACCTTCACCAGTTACGACCCAGCTGTCAAGTGCAATGTTCAGCCTCAATGGTGGTGAGGCCCATCTAGCAGGAACCTAATGCCACCGGAGACCTCTGGGAGACAGAGCTAGGCCTGCTGAGTCGGCTGGTGTCCCATGGGAAGGAGCTTGCCACACGCTGAGCAGCAGAACCACTTCCCACTATTGCTTGTCTGAGGTCAGCAGGCCAGAGCCAATATGTCTGAGGCTCCTGCCCAAAACTCACATGGCCATCTCGAACTGCTCCATCCACTTCCTCTTCATGTCTTCCGTCTTGCAGAAGAACTGGAAGCCTTGCTTTCCTTGGAGGTGAATCAGGTAGAAGCCATAGGACCACTGTGGGGACAGAGGCATGCTGGTAGCTGCCATGGCTTTGGACACTATCAGGTATACACAAGTCTCTTACTGGTACTGTGTATGTATGTGTGTGCCTGCGTTTGTGTATAACATGTCCTTGTGTATATACGTACACACCCTTGCCTGGCTGCATGTATCCTTGCACATGTGAGAATGTGGGTGCATTGTGCTCTCTCCTGAGCAGGCCAGGGTGTGCTCATGTGTCACGGTGCATAGGAACCTGTACCTACACATGTGACTGGCCTTATGATAAGCACACATGTGCTTTCCTGTGTAAACACGTGTGCATGTACTGGGCCTGTGTGCATACGTACTTGTTTCTGTTCCTGAGTCTAGAAGTGTCCACATATGTATACCTAAGCCTGTGTATGCCTGTCCATAGCTCCTTTCACAAGTGTATACATCATGTGTGCATGTGTTCTGACCTGTGTTAGTCATGTTCCCTACATGGACACATGGACCCACGTGCACAGGTGTGTAGGTAGTGCTGTGTGCACATGTATGGATGCATGTCTGTGTGCAGAGATTCTGTTTGTGCTCATACGTATGCATGTGGGGGTCCCTGCTATGTGCACATATGTATATGGGGGCCCTGCTGTGTTTGTGTGTGTGTGTGTGTGTGTAGCCTGCTGTGTACACATGTATGCATATGGCCCCTATTGTGCCCATGCATGTGTGTGTATGTATGCTGGGACCCTATGTGCACTTGCATGTGTGTAGGGGGCCTGCTATGTATGTATGGCTACACGTATGGGTGTGGCAGCCCATGCTCAGGGCCCACCCTCTGACAGGATATCCCACCCTTCTTCCACACCTTCATGAGACATTTCAACCCAAATCCCTGCTGTCCCAAGGACTCCCCAAGAGTGGTATCCAGCAGCCAGGCTATGGCCCTTCCACAGCCCCGCCCATTCACTTTCACATCCTGGGTAAAAAACCAAACAAAACAAAATCTGAGTTAAAACAACAGGGAAAAAAGAAGCTGGGGTCAGATGGTTGAGGGTCTGACCAAACCGAGCAACCCAGCAGTTGACCCCACCCACTGGCATGGCCAATACTCCAGGCTTGAGAAAAGGGCTTCCAAAGGGCCCCCGGTAAAGTGTAACCTACTCTATTAGAAGTGGAGGGATGGAGGGGGCAGAGAAGGGAGGAACATAGGGAAGGGGAGGGAGAGAAAGGAGGATGGTGCAGGGCAGAGATCATGATGCCTGGCCTGCCAGTGCTCAGTGACCCCTGACATTCACCTCCCAGAAAGGAGAGCAGGTGGGCTTCCAGGTCACACCTGCAAAACTTTCACCACAAATATATGTCACTTTCATGATTCAGATGTAGAGGAAGGAGGGGGAGGGGAGGGCCATGAGCCTGGTCTACTCAAGCGCAAGGAGCCCCAGACCCACAAGTTTGGAAGGGCCAGCATTGGGCAGCACTGGGGCGGGGATGGAGGGGTGTGGGGGGCAGGAGAGCACCAGGGGCTTACCATCTTCCCATGAGACTAGGAAGCATGAAGAGGAAAGGAAAAGGGGAGATAGGTCATTAAGAGGCTTGGCTGGCCCTGGATGCACTGCAGCCTGGGGAGGCTGATAGGCTTGGGCAGCAAGACCCAACCTCTCAAGCACTCTAGGCTGTTCTCCCCAAGCTTGGGAAGTGGCCCTGGTCTTCCTCTTGTTTCAGACACCAGAGCTAGGAGGAGCCTGTGCATGGTGGGCCTAAACCCTGTATGGGGACTTGCAGAAGTCAGGGCCCTTAGCAGCTGGGCTCCCATCCCCAACCCAGTGGGGCTATGCACAGAAGGCGCCGTGCTCAGAAGCCTCAGAGAAGCAAGACTGAAGCAAGACAGTCTGCTGCCATCCCATCCCCTCCCGCCACAGCCACAACCACATTGCCCATTCCCTTGTGCCCACAGTCCCTCCTCCTGCAGTCCTAGTCCACTGGATTTCAGAGCCTGACAAACCACAAACCAGCCCCCAGCAAACAAGGCAGAGTAGCAATGGAGGAGGAAAGGCCAGCTTGTTGCATGACACAATGAGGTCCACTAAGACTAAAAGTCAAGGTTGAGAGCTAGGCTCTTACTAGTGCCCTAAGTAAGGCCTCTCCCTCTGCTTCTGATGAGTCCTAAGGGTGCCCACCACCCATCATGGGGACAATCTGCCACAGTCACAATGACAAGAGGACAGAGCCTTCCTGCACATCCTGACACTGGATGTGTTCTCCTGGCGTTAGGACGTCCCGTCTGCCCCTCTCCAGATCTGGACCCACCTTCTTGATGTCCTTGTTGTGCATAGGGTCATCAGTCATCTTGTGGAAGAGCAGTTCAATGACCTCCTTCAGCTCATAGCTGTAGCCCTTCCTCTTACACACGATGACCACCTTGTCAAACAGGAACAGGTACCTGACCAGAAAGTACATCGAGTGTCAGGACAGCCATTCTCTGTGTGAAGACGCCAGCCAGCTGTCCCTAAGGCCAAGGTCTGCACATGCTGTCCACTCTCCAAGGTGAGGTCAACCAGGTACAGAGACTTGGTCACGACTCCGCTATTCCCATAAAGCCTTCCTCAGTGTCGTCTCCAGGCAGAAGGTCCTCAGTCCTCTATCTTGGCCTCCCTGGGAGCACTGCTCAAAGGCCACAGCCAATTCCCTCTTCTGCGTCCCCAGAACCCAGGTCTGCTGGGACCCCAGGCCTCACAGTTGCTGGACTTGTTCCAACTTCGCCACCACCTGCCATCTACTCCCAAGAGGACACTAGACCGGGAGCTCCCACGGCCTCTCAGTCAGTCTCCACCTCCCACCTTTAAGTATCTCCCAGCCTCGCTCTGTGCCCACCAAAGGCAGGGCAGTGCCTTTGTGTGGCCTCTACTGACTGGTATGACAGGCACACAGGCTTGTGTCAGAACATCAAGTCATTAGAACAGAAGCTGCATAAAGCCTGTTGTGCTGTTGTTCCTCCCTCAGGAAGGTCTGTTTCAGGCCACCTGGGAGTGGGGTCCCTGAGCTGGAGGGTCAGCCTGGAATGGGGTGCCACCTCTCAGCCTGCTCACCTGTCTTGCTTGGTGTGGTTGACTATGGACCGGACTTTCAGTTCCCCATCAATCTTCGGCCTCCCAAATTCCTCCAGCTTCACTTGCTGGGAAAGGCAATGACCGTTAGCCCAAGGGCAGGCGACCTCTGCTTTACTAGACAGGGAGACAAGTGGGCATGCCCAGGGCAGGATGGCAAGACCCAGGAAGATGTGCCAACGGTGATTGGGTGGTGTTCAGGATGAGGTAGACCAAGGCCATTATGGACCTGGGCCAAGCCTGTCCCTTCCTAGGGGGCCACAACTGGGACTTCTTGAGCCCTGGGAACAAAGGGCAATTGATGGCCTGGTCATGCTCACAGGCAGCTGTTGTGTGGAAACCAGAGCTGGAGGAAAAGCCAGAAGCCCAGCCCTGAGAGAGCTAATAAAGAAAGCAAGTGGCACCACAGGACTGAGTGGCAGCCACAGGCTGGGCTCTGGCCATGGGGTCATCTCCACAGGAAGCAACCCTGTGCCCAGCCCTGCTGCCACCTGGCTGTGTTTCCAGTTCTGCCTGGATTGTGCCCCTGGGTTCTGTTTAAACCAGAGAGGTCTGCCTCTCCACCATCCTCTGCATAGTTTCAAAAGGCAAGTCTGTTCCGGAAAAGACAGAGGGAGCAATTTGGGGGCGGGGCTGCATAGTTTCAAAAGGCAAGTCTGTTCCGGAAAAGACAGAGGGAGCAAGTTGGGGGGGGGGGCTATGCCTGGGGATGGCCAATGAGTGTGACTCCCAAGTTCCCTGCATTTCATGAAAGCTCCTAGGGCTGATTTTCAGTGTGACACAGGCAGGCCTAAACATGACAAAGAGTGGGGCTCACATCTGCTTGGGGACTCTGCTATGCCCTTTGTCCCCATCAATCAGGACATGTAACTCCAGGTACCTTTACCTAGAGAGGGCACAAGGCTGCATGCCAGGTGGCAGTCATGTCCTGGGAACATCTACACCCATGGACCACTGTTCTTTGTGAGACAGGGCCTGTTGTATCCCAGACTGGCTTGGAAGTCACCATGGAGTCGAGGACAACTCTGACCCTTCTGCCCCCCTATCCAAGCCCCCTCACCCTATACTGGACTACAGTTAATGTCTCCAAGCCCAGATTATTCAGGGCCCCTGTACAGGAGAGGCAAGCACTCTGCTAACTAAACAGTACCCACAATGCTTTCTTTGTCATTTAAAGAGCAAATCTGACTCGAAACACCAAATCAAGCTCCCCTGTGGACAAAGGCAGCTTGTCACTATGTGGTGATTAGAAAGCAAGGATGAGAGCTGAGGGGCCTGGACCCCACTAATGCCCGCACTTTCTGTCACATCCTTGCTTAGAGATGCACAAGGACATGAAGTGGAATCAGAATACTGCTTGGCAATTTCTTGCATTCACTGGCTGGTGGCATGGTCTAGGGATGTCTCCTGATGAACCAGGTCTGCAGAGGGCTCCTCTGTAGATGAAGATGGGCATCCTAGCCAAGATATCAGGATTCTGGCTCCCCAAACTCATGAGAGTGAAAAGTCACCAGGAAGAGGAATTATTTGTGACAAAACAGGTGGCTCTGTGTCAAGGTGACTCTGGACATTGGACAGCATTTGGAGATGCAGTCATCACTTGGGGTCAAGGGTGCTATTAGCATCTGATGGGTGGGGACAAGGGCGTGCTTAATTTCTCCTAATGCAGAAGACCACAACACAGAGAGGTTTGAGTTTGGAAGCAGCTCATGTCTTCTCCCCAGTCAACCTCTGGTTTTTTGTTTTTTGTCGTTGCTGTTTGGGTTTTTGGTTCTTTTTGTTTTGTTTTCTAAGTTTTTTAAGACAGGGTTTCTCAGTTCAGCCTTGGCTATTCTGGAACTCTCTCTGGAGACCCGGCTGGCCTCAAACCCACAGAGATCTGCCTGCCTCTGCCTCCCAAGTGCTGGGATTAAAGGTGTGCGCCACCACCACCCAGCCCCCAGTCAACCTCTGAAGGAGTGGACTAGAGAGTGTCAGCCCTGCTTGTCAGAGCTTCCAGAGAAGGAGAGATTTGAAGGTCAGCTCTCAGTCTAAGATGACTGCTGCCCCACCCCCAAACCAAACTCTGTCTATTGCCCATCCTGAGGACAGGGAGACCCTCAGGGACAAAGGAGGGTCACAGACCAGACAAAGCCTCCTGCCTCGGGTGACCACAGCCTGCAACAAAGATGTAAAGGGTCCTGGCTGGGAAGGGAGAATGGCAACTATGTTGCCAGTAGGATGTTCTCCATCTCCTCAGCCCTGCTCAGGGTCCACTCAGGGTGTAAGGCACTTGGGTAGGCTGGAGTGGATGAAGGCTTGCATCACCCCGCCTCTGGAGGCTGGGCATGCCACCTCCCACTTTCCTCCTACTCCCTGACAGGATTCACAGGCGGCCACTATGGTAAGCACAGGTGGAAGGGACACCTGCTTACCAGGTTTTCTATGGAGCACTGGAACTCGCTGATCTTCTTCAAGGTCTCTTTGTCTCGCTTCACTTCATTGATGTACATGGCCAAGTCCTGGAAATCAAGATAGGAGCAGTGAACCAAGGGGTGGTGGTGGTGGTGGTGGTGGTGGTGGTGGTGTGTGTGTGTGTGTGTGTGTGTGTGTGTGTACTCCAAGCCCTGGCCAGCCCAGCCCAGCCCAGATGGTCATTCCACACCCCTTCCTCCATCTTGCCTGGGCAGCTAAAACTCCAGGCAAGGAATAGGAATAGGAAACAGGTGGTGGTAGTGGTGTGTGTGTGTACTCCAAGCCCTGGCCAGCCCAGCCCAGTCCAGATGGTCATGCCACACCCCTTCCTCCATTTTGCCTGGGCAGGTAATCCTCCAGGCCATAGGAATAGGAAACGCCACACTCAGGTAACAAGGGAGGAAACTAAAGCTGAGAATACAGCATTTGGGCCCAGACTACACGTTGCACTGGTGAGGGTGCTGAGAACCCCCAAATCCAGGTTTGTGACTTCCCTCATTCAACAGGACTTCTAAGTCAGAATGGAGAAGCATCCCAGTATGGTAAGCCACAGTGGTCCACACACAGCCACTGTCTAGACCTACACATCTTTCTGCTCTCATGAAGGCCCAGCCCCACCTCTCTTGAAGAGCCTGGGTATTCTATTTTAAGTGCTTTAGGGAGAACGGGTCCCTATACGATACTGCAATTCTCCACTTGGTCACCAGGGGGCAGTGCTCACTTTGCTTCAGAAAGTTTGCTATGGGCTGGAAACCATGCCCAGTGGTGGCTGGGACAGTGCAGCAATGATCCTGCCCAGAAAAGCAAAGCAGAGAGGAAATCCCCAAAACACAAGAGCCAGGCCCACATCCTGAAACCAGTTCCTACCTCCTTCATGGCCTCTCTTGCTTCTGGGGGTCACTTCAAGGGCCACACCCCAAGCCTTGCACCGGACAAGGCTGAAGCTCCCTAACAGATACCACACTGTATGTATTTTTTTAGAGGATGGGTTTTGTTCTAAATCAACATCAGGGACAGAATATGAGCAAGTGTGGCCCTGTGCACACCTGACTGGAGCCACAGAAGTGCATTCTGGGGTGGGGATTCCCACAGAGACAGATACTAGCGCCCCAGAGGCAAAGCTGCCTAGCAGAGGACACAGCCTTGCAGGGAGGGTACACTGCAACCCTGTAGGAAACCCAGCTCTGGGGCAGTGGCAGCTCAGACACTGGCTAAATGAAGGATTTTATGCTTTACATTGGGGACATTAAAGGTTTTTAGATTCCCTTCTGTATTGGTTTCTGTAGAGGACACTTCAACTGAAGAACTGCCTCATCACACCGTCTTGTGGTCGTGTCTGTGAGAGGACGTCTTGATTGGTGATTGAAGTGAGAGAGCACAGTCCACTGTGGGCAGTGCCACCCCTAAGCGGGTGAGCTATATAAGAGGGCTAGTGAGCAAGCCAGAGTGAGTCAAAAAGCAACCTTCCTTCTGTGGTTTCTGCTCCAGGTTCCTATTTGAGTTCCTTCCCTGGCTTCCCTTCATGATGGACTGTGGCCTAGAAGTGTAATCTAAAATAAACCCTTTTCTCTGCTAAGTTCCTTTTGATTGTGGTGTTTTATCACAGCAACAGAAAGCAAGCCAGACATCTTCCAAACCTTTAAGTTGTAAGAGCTGACTCTCAGTGACATGGAGCACGCAGACAGAGGTAACACACTCTGCAATGTTTGGAGCTATATTCGGCGTACTGTACCATAAAGAGACCAGAAGCCACCAGCTGACTGGCAACTGAATGATGGAGGAGTGGAATGTGTGACCAGGCTGGGGCTCAGAATGTACCTGCAGCCATGGATCACATGTCCCAGAAACAGGTAGCTGACACCCAATTGTGTCTACAGTGGGAGACATGGTCCTCTGCTGCAGTGGCAGGTGACTTCAATTCCCCAGGGGAGCCAGCAAAAGATCCCTGTGTCAGCCATGGCACCCTTGCTCAACTATACCCCAAACAGGTACAAACTTCTGCAGCTGCATGAGGCCTGCTCTCAGAGCTACAGGCAGCTTTGAGATACAGCATCCTCCCTGCTCAGCCTGGCAGCTGTGTAAGAGAAGGCTGCAGCTTCTCCCTCTTCAAATGAGGTGTCCTGGGAAAGGAAGAGGCCCAGGGCCCGAGGACTGACTCCTCAGGGGCAGGTGTCAGATGTCAAGGCTGCAACTAACTGGCTTCTACCACACTGCAATGCCAGAGGGATCTAGCCTGTGTGGAGCATTGCACCTGGTCTAGGACACAGGTGGCCATGAGAGGCACAGGTATGGTTGGGGTTAGCCTGACAGTCCCTGGGCTAAGGGGTCTGGAAGGTGACGGTCTTGGGCAGTGTCAAGTTCATGGCAAAGATGGATGAGTCGGATGCAGGTGGGTTAACGAGGAAGAGGACATGGCCTGAGAAGATACCTTGGGATAGGAAAGAATAGAGCATGCTTGGGAACCTGAGGGTGACTAGGCTTGCCTGGAATCTGGGGACCCTGTGAGAGTCCTAAGAACAGGGGGAAGGGCCAGGCCTGATTCAGAAAGCAGCAGGAGCCACAAAGGTTTTTGAGCAGAACAATGATGAGTGCTGAGCTTCAGAGGGCAGTGGTGTGTGTCATAACAAGGCGGACAATGGAGGAATAGGGGCCCCTGAAGCCAGTATGTGGAAAGGAGCCTTCAAGCAAGTGACAGAGAGACAGGACATGGAACAAAGCTTCAGCAGCAGAAGCCCCAGAGGAAAAGAGTTAACTCCATGATAGAGCTGGCACCTGAAAATGATTGCTGGTCCCAGTAGACACAGGAATACAGGAGTTGGGGGCAGGAGCAGCCACTCACTGGCAAGTGAAGCTGGGGACTTTGAACACATGGAAAAAGCACCTAGCCTGTAGCTTCCTCCACTATCATGTGAGTCTAAACCCACCCCCTGCCTGTGCTACTGTGGGCAAATGCTCCCCACTGCCAAGGAGCTCAGTTTGGATCCAGGAACACAGACACACAGGTCTCAGTACTTCCAGGCTCGATTTACCTACCTGCATGGCTTCCAGTGCTTCTTTTAGCTGTTGTCTTTCTGGCCGGTCTGCAGAATGACTCAGGAGTTCCTGTAGGAGTGACAGGAGACCCAAGGTCCGCTCTCAGGATACCAGCCCTGCCCCAGTACCAAGACTCTCAGGACAAAACCACCCTCTAGCACAGGTGCAGGTCCATCTGCTCAACTCCAACAGACATGGTCACCCTTTACACAGTGGACACATCTGCCAGGAAGCTCAGAGACTCAAGCAATCAAACACAGTAACTCTCCTGTTCCTGGTCTGGGGGTGCCCTCTGACTCTTCCCACTTTCCTGGCCTTCTTATTTGTTTCAGTTATAATTTTCCTTCTGGCTGCCATGATACCCTTTCATGGTGTGCACTAAGCATAGAGCCATTCATCAGCCTTTGTTCCACCCTGTTTGTGGGCCAAAGCCCATGCCTCCAGAGCCCAGGTGACACAGGCACGGAGAACGGATTGATGACCTCACCTTGAGCAGCAGATGGTACTTCAGTACCCGCTGCATGGGTACCACCAGCAGATCTTGCAGCTTGAACTTGCCATCCTGGACCTTAAGCGTGCACTCCTGGTATGGGAGAGCAGTGGGTGGATGAGGGGTACCCTCCCTGGGAGAACCCATCTCTACTTCCAGCCACGCAGAGAAAAAGACCTCAGCCCTGGACTCTCAGACTTCTAGAATATGCATGAGGTGTGGGTGTCATAGTATGTGAGCAGGACATACTACCCCTTACATCCTGGGACATGATGGACCTGGTATCTGAGGGACCCCTTTGCCCAGCCTTGCAGAGCATAGCTCACGGATGTGCCATCTGCTCCCTGAGAAGCCAGATGGGGAAGGGGCTCACACAAAGCTGTGAGGTCACCTAGGGTCCCCTGGGGTGCCTAGACAGGAGGAACAAGTGTCACATGCCACCAGGACTCAAGCTGGAGCTCTGAAGACAGAGCTTTCCTGACCACATAGGATAGGGACACTTCTAGACCTGGGGGGGAGGGGGGAGAGGCACTCAAGCTGAGGCAAGGGAAGGAGGCAAAGGAGAGAGGCCAAATGCTTCTGATTGGTTCTTTGTCACGAGGCAGGCACCTAACCTCTAGTGACTACAAGGGAGGGAGGCAAAGGAGAGAGGCCAAATGTATCAAGCAAGTCACCTAGATCTCGACAAGGACCCTGGGATCAACAGAGGCTAAGGTCAAGAGTCACTCATTAAGATGGACTTGTCCAGGCCTCCACAGCCTGTAAGGCTCAGGCTGTGTTCTAGCTTGGGACATGTGTTCTGGAAGTCACCAACAAAATGAAGTGGTGGGGGGGGAGCATAAAACCAAAGATGTGTGTTGAGGGAAGGTAGCTGAGCCTGAGCAGTCAACTGTGCCAGGCCAGGGTACCGGGATGCCCTGTTACCTCCACTTTTTGCCTGAAGTCCTCCCGGCTGGCAAGGAGCTGGTTCAGTGTACTCTGGGCATGCTCCATGTGGCTGCAGTACTCCCCGTAAATCAGCAGCCTGAGGAGAGGACAGCAACATGTAAGTGGTGGGCACAGATTAGGTAAGACACTTGCAGCTGATATGAGCCTGTATGGTGCACAGGCATGTGAACACATATGTACCCATGCATGTCTAAGATACTTGCAGTGGCAATGCCCTGACTCCTCAGCCTCAGGATCACTACCCCACATGGCTCTGCTCCCCTAGCCCCCTGCTGGTCTACATGACCAGGTTAGGAGAAGGGCTCCCAAAGCATTAGCAAAGAAGGGGAGGCCACCTCCTGCAGGCCTGCTTCAAGTCATGACCTATGCTCCACCTCTGTTCCGGAGAGGAAGGCCTAGAACAAAGAAGCCCCTGCCTCCTGGGGCTCTCTGCTTGCCTCCCCAAGCCTAGCATGGGGGGCATTCATCGCTGAAGCTCATCCTAGGGCTATGCAAAATGGGGGTGGCCCCTGGTGCTTCTGCAGGGGTGTGAGCAGCTGCATCCAGAAGATATGCCCAGTCAGAAGCAACAGGGTTCCAGCAGCCCCAGCCAGCCCTGTTTGCCTTCTGCTTTCCTGCCTCCCATCTTTTCTATGGCCCACCATAGATTATCTTTTTAGTGACATACATTGTTCTCTTCTTTGTCCCCACCTGGGTCCATGTGCTGTCCCAGGGGTGACATCTCTACAGATCAGAACCCCTGAACTCTCAGGAAAAGGGGGCAGCTACCCCACAACTCCCTCCCTAGGTCCTTAAGCCCTGACCTCATAGGAGATGTAAGAGGAGACTGCCAGGTGAGACATTACCAAGGATAAGCACGATGGCAGACAACACTCACTAGACCACCACTTACTTTCTCAGTGACAGTGTCCATGCTTCAAGCAATCACCCAAGGTTACTGAAGCCCCAGTGAACTGCCTGCCATAGCAGTCATACAAGGAGCTTATTGAGAGGCTGCGCTTAACCTTGGTGTTCCAGCCCCACCTTTCCCCAACCCAACAAACGTCAGGGAGTACTGTGTTAAGAGCCCCTGGGTCCTCCCCAGTGGTGTGGTTCTGAAGGGACCCACTCCCCATTTCGGCAGCCATGACAGTACCTTGTCTTAGTCACTAGAGGTTAGATGCCTGCCTCGTGACAAGGAACCAATCAGAAGTTAGCTGG